AGTGTTGAGGGAGGGGTGAAAAAGAGGCCAGTCAATAATCTATTTAATAATCCAGGTCAAAAATAATTACCTGCACCTGTATGACAATGAAAGACACGAGAAGTGGTCAGATTTTAAACAAACTTTTTAAAGTAGGGCCAACAGAATTTGCTAATATGAAATGAGAGCAGAATCAAGGTCGACTCTAGGTTTTTGGCCTAAGGAACTGGAAAGATAATGTTGGTACTAAAAAATTTTGATCACAGCGCTGTGAAGCTGGCTGCAGTCACTTCTGCACAAGTTTGATCCCTGGGCAGGCAGCTGACCCACATGGTTCCAGAGACCTCTCCTGTCTCCCTGCTGCTCCCCTCAGCAGTGTATTTCATAGATCTGTCTGTTCTGCTCCCCAGTTTGTCTCTGATGAATCCTCTCAACACCCCTGCACCTCTGGGCTGTACCCCAGTATGCATAAATAAATAATTTTTAAAAATTTGACTGTGGTCTTAAAATTATTTAAAAATAGATAATTTTTAAAAATTTGACAATGACTGAGTTCTATGTGCCAAGTGTTCAAGTAATGGCCGTACATTACTAGTGATCCTCACTACCTACATCACCCTTTTAACAAATAGAAACTTGCTGATTATAAGTCTGAAAACTAACAGCTGCCTGAAGCAACTATGTTGCTTTTATCAGTACTCAATACACCATTGCAGTTACAGGATCTAGCACCATACTGAACATTAAATAAGCATTCAATTAATATTTACTGAAATAATTAGTTTCTCTGAGCACAGGCTAGTGACTGAATTCAGTGCGGCCGTGTCTGGTCTCCCCAGACTTCCACCGACTTCTGCAAGCTATTGAGAAAGAGATCCCCAGTCTGGAAACCATTTGTGTTTCCAATTCGGAACCACAATCTCAAACTGAAGAGACTCAACCCACACTCCTCAGGGGCATCTACAAAAAGACAGGCAACTCCTTTCATATAAAGATCATTCCCCTTCACTCTACCGTACCCCTCTCCACCCACACACACTCGGCGAGTCCATGCACCAAGGATTCCCAACCCCCCTGCCTCTCCAAGCCAACAAAACCGGACGACTTCCTGTTGCTTTAGCTTTACCAGCACGGCTTCCTCAAATTCCCCCACCTTTTGTTAATGCTGCCCCCCTCCACCTGAGCCCTCTATCTGACAATCAGACATCCGGTCTGAGTTTCAGACCTCGAAAGAGAAGCACTTCTATCAAAACTGCACCTCTCCACCCGGCTCGGAAACTTCCCCCTGGAGACGACGTTTCTAACTGCAGCGTGGTCTCTGGAAAGACGGGAACCCAGGCGAAAGGAGGAGAACCCACGGTCCCATTTCAGATCTCCCACTTACTGGTTACCTTCGGCTCCGTTTCTTCATCTGCAAGAAACAGCCCAACTGCCCATCCTCACGGAGCAACTGTTCGGAGGCTTAACGAGCAGCGCCTGCCCGAGAACGCTGGTCTCCATCCCTCCACATTATGCAACCTGGTGTTAGTCACTGCGCTCTCCTGCCGAAGCTCTCCGGGGTAAGCGACGGCCAGGGAACCTCGACTACGCTCCTCCTAGCCCAGTGGTTCCCTCGAACATGCACTCTGCGCACAGTAAGCCGCCAGTAAACTGGTGTTGCCCTCCACAGCTGCCAACCCAGGGCGGGAGGCCGGGGGAAGGGGGTGGGGATGGGCAGACAGCGCAGCGGGCTTGGGTTTCCTCAGGCGTTTCGAGCCGGGAGCTACCAACTGCTTGGCCCGCTTCAGTCAGCGCGATCCCTTCACCCGACCCACAGCCCTCGGGGCTCCGATCCTCGAAAGCCTTCCATTTTACTTCCCCTCAGCACCCCTTCTCCCCTCCTCCCCCGCCAACTGTCACCCAGATCGCGCCGCCCAGCCCCCACCCGGCAACGGGTCGCGGGCAGTCCCACACGCCTGGCCCGAGGGGCCCGCCCCAGGCCGGTACTCACGCCCGCGGCGCCCGCGGTGACGGCGGACGGCTGAGCGGCGCCGGTCGAGCGAAGCCGCCTCCGGCCGATCTGCTCCAGACTGAGGAATTCGTTGGACAGGTCCAAGGAGTCGGCGGCTGAGGCGGCAGAGCGGCTGTGCAGCTCCAGGCTGCTGCGGAGGACCACCATCTTCACTGCCTCGGGCCTCCGGCGTCCGCGGCGTGAGACTGGCCACAGTGCCCGGTGGCCACCGCTCAGGCTCTTCCGCGCTCTGAATTCTGGCGCCACAAGCTCCGAGCCAGCGACCGCAGCGCGCACGCCTGGAATCCCTCCGCCGACCGGCCCGCCCACACCGCCACACGACACGGCGCAGTCGAAACTTCTCTCCCATTTGGAGACAGAAAGACCTCAGGCCGAAGTTGAGGGGGGCCCGCACCGACCTGCCCCAGGACCTGAGCGGACGGCGATGCCTGAACTCTGACTTCTTTTTGTTAAGTAGTTCCGGCTCCCTGAGCTCGGCGGAAGGAGATGGAGGGTAGTGGCTCCGAGTCTGTTTGGAATTTTGGCGCGTGGACGTCGGAGGGGGAAGGGAGGCTCCCGCCCTCTCTGATTGGCTAGCGACCTCGTGGCTCCTCCCCGTCCCTCCCCGTCCCTCCCCTCCACTTCCCGCCAGGAGGGTTTCAAATGCAGTGCGCAGTCCTTGAGTGAACGTCTTGGCTTTTGACAGGTTCCGACATTGATCCTTAAGAACATTTTACTTATTATTATTTTTTTTAAAGAGAGCGTAACTCAAACAAGTTAGATACCGAAAGAAAACAGAAAGGGAGCTAAAAGCGAGCTTGATGACCCAATTGTTCACCTCCCTGGATCTTCACGTCCTCACCTGCAATTAACTTTAATAAAATTATCTCAGGGCCTAAGACATTGTTCCTTAGAATCACGTCTGCACATGGTAATTGCTGAATGCGTGTTTGTTACGACTACAGAAGCACAGAACCCATCTAGGTTACAGCAAACGACTACTTCGTAATAGATAAGGATATGCTAAATGATCATAATGGGAGAGGAGTCCGAGGAAACTGAAACAAAGCTATTTATTGATTTGAGTCACTACATTCCCTTAACTCGATTTTATTAAATATTTATTGAGCATCTGTTATGTGAAGGCACCATTCTCAGCACTGTAGATACAGCAGTGAACAAAAACCCTAAATGCCCTGTAGAACTTCAGTCCTGGCCCTCCCTGGTGGCGCAACGGGTTAGGGTTAGGACGCAGCACTGCAAGCTGGCTGCAGCCACTTAAGTGCGAGTTCAATCCCCGGCAGTATACTTCGTCGATCTGCCTGTTCTGCTCCCCACCCTGTCTCTGGTGAATCCTCTCATCCCCCCTGCACCTCTGGCTTGTACCCGAGTTCTGTATGCATAAATAATAAATCTAAAAAAAAAAAAACTTCAGTCCTGGTGGAAACAAACTACATGATACATTGTTGGGATATGGTGTTACAGAGATATATAAAGTAGCAATAGAGAGGCATGCAGTTTTAAACAGGTGATGAGGCGTGATATCGCAGAGAGACTTATAAACAAAGATTTAGAGGCATTAGGTAGATCTGGTAGAAGTTGAAGATAGCCAGGCCAAAGAAATCACAAGTGGGAGCGGATCCTGAGCCCTGTGGGGCTCATCTTTAGGGGTTTTTTAAAACCTTTGTTGTAAGTGAGATGGGAAAACATAATATGCTTTTGAAAGGAGAAGTGATTTATTCTGACTTAAAATAAAATCCCTCTGGCTGCTACATGAAGAATGCTGTATTTGGTACCTACTTATGCTAAAACATTTTTTTGTTATTCATAGGAACTTCCATTTTAACTTAACTTCCTTTTATTGGCTAAATTTGGTAACCCCAGTTAAGAGGCCACAGTGGCACATACGTTGTGAGTACTGTGGTGGTTTTGGGGTTCAGATGATGGGGGTTCCACATGTGGCAAGTTTATTGAGGAAAGCAAGACATCTGCATAGACCAAGAGAGGCAGTCTTGAAAGACAAGAACTGCATTTTGCCAGAGCAAGGGCTGTTCTTTTATAGTGATCTTGTATGGAATGATTGTGGAAATTATGGTCTTGGGGGTCAGCTTGCGTTGGTCTTCTATGATTGGTAATACTCTCTGTCTCCACCTCTGGTTTGATAATTCTGACCCCACCCCAGATTCCTGGAAATTTCCATACTGGGGTGAGACCTTCCATTCTAAATTTTTCTAATCTCAACTTCCATCAGAGGTAATGAGAAATGGTCACATTCTAGGTATACTGGGAGAGTCCGTGGAATTGGATATAGGTGTGAGATTAAAAAGGTGTCAAAAAAGACTCTAATTTTTTGCTTGTTTGTTTGTTTAAGCTAAGATGAAGCAGCACTTGAATGGGGAAGCCTGTGTTTTATTAAAGCAAAGTTGGAGGGACTATCAGGTATTCCATGACTATCCGTCATTCCATCAGCCCATGCCAAGAAGAATACTATACTGTTGTCAAAAATTTACAATGTAACCGTGTTAACTAAAGCTCGTGTACTGATTTAGGAAAAGAAAGGCAGCAGAAACTAAGGTTCTTACCCACAACCCCTACAGCTTAAAGAGAATCAAGTGTTTTTTCCCTCACGTTATAGAAAAGTGCTGAAGTAAGAGCTAATCACAGAATCACAGTTCCATTACCTCATTTGAAATAACATCATAGGTTGGTCACTTTCTGTCCTTTGGTACAAAGTTGGAAAGTAAACATCAATTTGGACAGGGACATTTCTTTCAGGAATGTTGTAAATCTGACCTTGCTTAAATTCAGTAGGTGATCTCACTGATTTCCCACCAGATTAGAAACCATGTATTGCCTGGGATTCGCCATAGTTGCCATTTGCTGTTTTTAACTACAGTGAAATTAAACCAGATACCTCTCCTGTCTTAGAGAGCTTCTGTTTGTAGGGGGTTGGGTTAGGCAAGGCCCACCTCCTTCAATGACAATCTGCAGGGACAGATACTTCTTACTTCCTGTTCCTGTAACTAGGCCTTTGGAGCTCAGGCTTGTGCCTGAGTTGCTCCCACTTCAGACTTTCATTCCCTCCTGAGCAATGACCTAATATGCAGGGCCAGAGTTTATTTGTGATGGCAGCAACAGAGGGTACAGAGATAGTGGCACTAGTGGTGGCATCCTAACCAGCTGATTTTGGGGTTTGTGTAGCATTATCTCAGTATCAATCCACTGTGTTTTTATGCTCCAGTCATACTCAAACACCCTCCTCCCTATCCTAGTAAATTTAATTTCCTGTTTAAATTAAACAAAAATAACTTCTGTTGTTTGCAACCAAGAACTCTGACTGATGGAGAAGCTTCAGGTTGGAAAGGGAATTTCACCAGTGGTTTCTTAGCATGAACTCTGACTAAATGAATGTTAGCTGACCAATGAAACAGGCACCCCTTCAGAGATGGGAGTTGAAGGGTCAGGACAGAGGATGTGGGCACAGGAAGTAAGGTAGGAAGATATGTCATAATTTTATGATGTGTTCTTCAGACTTGCTGTCTTTATCAGACTCCTCCAAATGTACTTCAATTTCTCCATTTTCCCATATAAGGTGTGGTACACAGCCCAGAGTTTAATACCAAGTAGTAGCCAGGCCAATGCAGAGGGCCTCAGCACCACTGCCTCCTTTCCACCCCATTCTAAGATGAGCAATAATAACACTTCCCAGCCCCAAGGTGAGGTGCTTTTCCAGAATCCCCCTAGCAAATTGCTGTCTTAGCATAGCGGCTTTCTGCTTTACACTGACACTGACTATCACAGAAAAGTTGTACTAGTTAAATGCAAATCAACTTAGCACTAGGTATCCCAAGGGATTTGCCTAGGTTTTTGTTAGTTGGTTTTACCTTTTTTTTTTTTTTAAAGATTTATTTATTTATGCATACAGGCCAGAGGTACAGGGGCAGTGAGAAGGCTTACCAGAGAGAAAGCAGGGAGCAGAACAGGCAGATTGACAAAGTATACTGCTGAAGGGAGCAGCAGGCTGGTCAGCAGAGGTCTGCCGTGCCATGTGGTCACCTCTGGGGTGGGCAGGGATGGAACTCAAGCGGAAGTGGCTTCAGCTACCCAGTGCTGTGTTTTAACCCACTGTGCCACCAGGGAGGGCCTGGTTTTACCTTTTAATAACAATATTCCATGTGGTATAAAGATATAGGGCCCATTTCATAGATGCAACATAGCAACAAGTATTAAGAGATCTGGAAATTTCAAAACTTATGATTTTTAAAACCTCTGATTTAGGGATTCTACTTGTAGGATGTCTTACTAATGTAATAGTCAAATGTACACATAATGACTTATATACAAAGATGTGGATTGCAGCTTCATTTATAACAGCAGGGTCTGAAAACCCAATATACAATGGTAGGTAGGGGCAAAGGCTGTCCATGCGGTTTTTTATAATGTTGATAAACCAGCCTTTTGTGAGTTTTTTTATTTAACAAAATAGTTATTACAAAGCAATAGATGTCAAAATTTGAAGGAGTACAGAAATGTAAAGGTACAAGTCTTTCTGTGTGATTGTAATGAGGAAAATTTTTCTTTCCACTGGAGTTGCTGAGCCTGGAAAATATGAAGATTGGGCTGTCAGTGGTCATCCTGCTACAGAAGCCAAGTCACCTCAGAATGAAGTCACGCCCTGAGAAGCAGACTGTGGAGTGAGTCCTGTGTCTGGTCCCTCGAGATCCTGTTCTGCAGTTCATCCTTGACTTTGACAGCGACTGTGACATCCTTCCTGTGAAATGAGTTAATAAAACAGCCTTTCTGCCTTTTAACTGAATGCAGCATGACTAATACGACGGGGCCAGCTATTGTGGGAATGAAATGGTATTCTGTTTGTGCTAGAATCCTATGCTAACAATCAATTAATTCTTCCAACCACATGAAGTAGAGTCCATTCAGCATGAAATGGACTTGGTAAACCACAAAAGGCTACCTTTTCTCATGGGCACAAATCATCCTGGGAAGAGATATCACATTCATCAGGGCGTAGTGTCTGGGGTACATATTTCCTCTGTTATGAAAGTCAAGACAGTAAGTACTCATATTTAGTCTTATGTCATCTATTCCAACATATTTCCTTAAGGAGCTGTAAGAAAGCTTTGGGGTCACACTCTAAAGCTCCTTCAGAA